CCCATGCCTACTTTCCAAAGACTTGGATTCGTCAGTCCACACGCAGCCAGTTTATTAAAGGCAGGGAGCTTCATCAGGGGTCCAGAAGGGAGAAGGTGGGAGGTGCCCCCTTCTTCTCTCAGGTCCCCTGTTCTCCAACAATTCATCTGCAGCCCAGCCCCCAGGATAAAACCCCAGGAGGCATGGCTGGCGTCAGGCAGACTGTACTGCATAAATACACGGAGGCCACAGCCTGAATCAGCAGCGTCAAGGGGACGGGAAGACTGGGCTTGGGGCAAGAAGGGGTGGCTCTGGGGGCACCTCCCTCAAGGCTTGTCCTGAGCCCCTGGGCCCCCAAAGCGAGTTAGGGGACCAGCGGGCTGCCCTGGGGTCTAAGGCTGTGGCCAGCCCTGTCCCGCGAGGCTGGTATGGGGCTCTAGGTTGTTGAGGAGGAATGGGGCAGGATGAGGTGGTGCCAGGGTGCAAGGGCCCAGGGCGGGGTCAGGTGCTGTTGCCCTGCTCCTGCTCAAAGAGCACCATTGCGAGCTGGGTTCGGGAGCCAAGGCCCTCGAGCATGCTCTGGCGGCAGCGGTGGTACAGGTCCTCACTGAGCAGAGCGCTGCACCACTGGGCCCGGTAGCGCTGCAGCAGCGCTGGCTCCACTGCCCGCAGCACGTGCAGGCTAGAGAAGCGCAGGAATAGCTCATACACATCCAGGCTTTCCAGCAGCTCCTCCTCCTGCTCCGAGGCTGCTGCCAGCTGCCCTCGAGCAGCCACATAATCGGAGTTGTAGAAACAGGCCTCGCTGGCCGTCTGGCGATCAAAGCGGCCTGTGTCGCGGCCCAGCTCTGGTGGCCAGGGTCCCTGTGGTGGAGCCACGGCCGGGTGGAAGGCCTGGAAGTGCATGGGAAAGAAAGCCTGCCAGCCAGAGATGGCGTGCATGCGGCAGCGATTCAGGAATTCAGGTGTGAGCACCGTGTCTGGCCCGGCCAGCAGGAATAGTGTGTCCAGCGGGTGCTTCTTGGAGAGTAGATCCATGAGGCGCAGTGGAGAGGGTGCAGCTGTTTGTACACTGAGCCAGGGCACCCGGGCCCCAGGAAAACGCCTCTCTAACTCTGCCACATGGGCCTTGACGGGTGCAAAGACATCTGCATGGGCTGCCCGCTGGGCCTGGCGTGGTTCATACAGTAGTAACAAAGTCAGGGCTGCTGCATCACCAGGCTCCAGGGCTGCAGTGGCAAAGGCCTCCAGGAAGTTAGGGGCCAGGTCACGCTCAGTCGCAGCCAGAGGCAGCAGCACAGTGAGACGTGAGGCCTCTGTGACATAGGGCACAGGCAAGATCTCCACTCGGCTCAGCGGCCGGAGCAGCTGAACCCGGCGGGTGAGGGGCCTGCGGCCACCCTGAGGGGTCAGTGCCTCCAGCTGCAAGTCCAGTGTGTACTCCATACCCCGGGCTGGATCGAAGCGTCGGTAGCCATTAACCAACTGCTGCTTCTGGAGTCGCAGGGCTGGGTGGTAGCGGCGATTGAGCTCTTCCAGGGCTGCCCCCAGGACATCAGCTACATCGGCTCGATCAGCCCCACGAAGTGGGCAGCGAGGTGAGCCATCAGCACAGGAGAAAGCATGCTGCTCTGTGAAGTAGTCCCAGCGCAGGACCTCAAAGCGGGAGGCAGGGCGGGATGGTGCTGGGATGCCCACGGGCCAGGTGGCAGCACGGTCTCCATCAGCAGCCAGACGGCTGGTGTTCTGGATCTCCCACTGGGCCAGAGAAACAGGTCATGAGCAAAGCAGAGCACACATCTGGGGGCCTGGGACAGCAGTGGGTACCTCAGTACCCTGCCAACCTCTTGCACTCAGGGCCCCCACCTATCCTTTCTGCACATGGAGGCAGCTTAAAAGTTAAGAGGCATTTCTGGGAGGCTCTTCAGAGAGGTGGAATCAGGACTGGATAGCAAGTTTGTTTGGTGATTCTACCATTAACTTTTTGTTTCCTGGGACCTCTGAGACCTCAGACCCTGCTCCCCCTCTTCTCCAATCACTTCATTCTTTCCACCCTCAAGGCCAGGCCATACCTGCAACTCCTGGATCTCCTGGTATGTGCGTTCCAGCTCAGCCCTGGCAAAAGCCTTGTGCAGCTGGTACATGTGCACAGGGTCACGCACAGGATGGGCTGTCAAGGCACTTCGGAAGCGAGGATCCCCTTCCTGTACAGACTCCCCAGGACTCAGCTCCAGATAGTTATAGTGCACCCCCTGGGGAGAAGGGAAGAGGACCATTATGGGAAGAATGACATATTAATTCCCCTCTTATTTCACAGTATCTCATCTCCTCATCCTATAATCCACTGTGGATTTGGAGTCAGTTTTCTTTGGGTTTATGTCTACTTAAGTGACCAGTTGAGCTTGTGTGACCTTAGACAAGCCTCTGGCAGCTCATCTGTGAAACAGACATGCAATGTCTCAGAGCTGTCCAGGCTCAAATAAAATAAAAACTAACACTAAACACCGTGCAAAGTTCCCTTATTTTCTCTAATTCTTATAGCAATCCTGCATGATAATGGTTTCCATTAGCATGCATAAGAATACTGAAGCTCAGATTTATTAATTTATCCAAGGTCTCAGGGATAGAAAATAGAAAATAACTGGCATGGAAACCCAGGCCTGTATCTGAACCCTCTGCCCTCAGAAGAAGAGGGCAAGCTCAGCCAGGAGGTGCCAGTGCGGAGGCTTATCTTCCCACCTCGTGGTCACCAGTGCAGCCCACCCCGGTGGCATCTATAATGCAGCGTCCCAGCCACTCGTCAGGGCGTGCACTGACGATGTCATTTCGGCAGCCTTCCAGGTGGGGGCGCAGCTGCTGGAGCAGGGTGCGCGACAGCAGTACCCCAAAGCCTCCGTGGCAATAGCGGCCTTGGGTGGCCTCTCCGCCGATGAAGTCCTGGGGCCGGCCTAGATACAGGTGGGCAGCTGAGGCCAGGCTGAGGCGGCCAGTTAGGCGTGCCAGTCCGTGAGCCTCGGTGTAGGTGGCATCAGGCACTAGGAAGAACCAGTCAAAGTCGTCACCGTGCTGCTCCAGCAGGTGGCGCAGCGCCAGATGCAGGTGCCCGATGGGCCGCTCTTCGCCCAGCGTCACCAGTGCCATGCCAGATGGTGTCCGGCGGCCCCTCGAGCCTGTCAGGAACACCACGCGCTCTAGTCGGTGCCCCAGCGTTCGGTTCACAGCCACACCCAGCGTGGCCAACGTGGCCTGTGAGGTCAGCACCGCCACCAGCAGCCTCTGCCTGATGCCCAGCTCTGTGCTGATGTATCGAGTCCTGGAGGAGGAGAACTCAGGGTCAACAAAAAGGCAAGGCAGGCGGGAGAAGTACACACAGGTCCAGCAGGTTCTATCTTCTCAGGCCGTTTCCGCATCTATGCATAGGATAAGAGTAACATCTATCTCCCAGGGGTCGTAGGGATTAAATGCAATACCTGTCTTATCCACGGCATATTTTGCATTGAGAAGATGGCAATATCCATGCAGATAGACCCTATATCATGGGTCTGAATCCTGACTTCACTACTTAGTAGCTGTATCTTTCGTTTGATATGTTACTTAACCCGAGTCATCTGTAAAATGGACTGGTTTTGGCTATTTAAAGCACTTGGCAAATGTTTGTTGTACCATGAATATACTTATTTCTATGTAAATACGCTGCTATACCATAAAAACATCACATAAATGATGTAAAGGAATATATGGTACAGAGGAGTATTGAATGTGTTTGGGGAAGGGACAAACTAGGAGAGTAAGTCACATGTGAAAAGCAGAAAGTTGTAAACCAGGAATTTGAGTCCAGTGTTACTAAGGAGAAATTATTTCAATTCATAACCAGCCATTCTTGAGATGAGTATATTTCTTTTACCCCATCTCACCCCAGGTGGACCTAGTAACCCAGGCAGCAGTGAGATACAGGTAAATTCTAGTTCTCCCCTTTCTCTTTCCCTTTCTTTTACGCACTCTATACACCAGTTGTTTCTCTAACCCCTACAGCCCAGCCAGGAAGCTAAGAGGATCTTTGGGGGACCACCGGTGGAATCGGTTTAGGACAGACCTCCGGCAGGTTCAACTCAGGCCAGGATGAGACCCAGAGGGGGCCTCAAACTGGCCCTACGGCTCGTGGGTAAACAGGGCTATAGGAAGTTATCCGGGCCCAAAGACTTCCTGGTCGGCCAGCCCCTTCCTTCCGGAGCCTGACCCGGCCTCCGGCGGCCTCCCCTGCGCGCGCGCCCGTCCGGGTCGGTGCCCAGGGAGTGGGGCTGGCGGAGCGGATCGTTACCTGACGGCCTTCTTGGCGGCCTGGCCGGGCTTTGCCGGGTGGTAGGGCAAGACACGCGGCTCCCAGTTCTCCCCGGCGCCCGCGCCGGCCCCGGGCCTCTCGCGCTCGGCTCCCGACTGCACCGAGTTGGGCCGGCGAGCTGCGTTGGTGTTGCCGTGCGGCTGCAGCTCAGAGTCTCCGGGCTGGGGCGGCCCTGGGCCGCACGGCTCCTCCACCCAGGTGACGCTGAGCAGGCTCAGGGTGAAGCCCAGGGAGATGCCCACGGCCACGGGCCCCGCGGGCCTCAGCACAGACAGCAGCAGCGATGCCCGCATGGCGCCGGGACCGCGGGCCCCCGGACCCCGCGCAGCCCCAGAGCAGGTCGAGGAGGCTCCGAGGGGGCGGGACAGGGGAGGGGGCGGATCCGGAGGGCCCGGGCCCAGCGGGCGGGCCCGCTCCCTCCCCGCCGCGTAGAGCCAGCGGCCCGAGCCGAACCCCCGCGCAGTGCTCCGCTCTCCCTCCAGTTGCGCTCGGGGCCCGAGCCTCGGCAGCTGCCGCCGCTGTCCGACGTGTCACTGCGGGGGGCCCCGCCCCCGGGGTGGGGTCTCAGGCTCCAGCTACCGGAGAGGGAGGAGAAGGGGAGGTTAAAGGGGAAGGACCCCCGGAAGTGCCCCCTCCTCAGTGCCGGAGAGGCAGACGCTGGGGGCGGAGTCCCCTGCCTCCCCCGGCGTGGTTGGTGCGTCCCAGATGACGTCAGGAGCAGCCCGCCCCTGCCTGGATGGTGCGCCCTGAGTGACGTCAGGAGCAGAGGCCGGAGCTGTCCATCAGCACCAAGGGCCGCAGGCGGGATCAGGGCATGGGGCCGCGGCTTTGGGACAGCCCGAATCCCCGTTCCTGCTCCTTTCCCTTCCCCGGGACCGGCCTGAGTCTCCGGACGCCGCGGGACTGGAGTGCCAGCCGGTGTCGGAGGTGGAGCGGCGACGCCGCCGCGCGGAGACCGGTCTTCCCGGTCCAGCAGCCCCCTTCCCCGCCCGGCGGACTTTCCCCGGACCCCAAGCACTTGGAGCCTCGGGCACCCCGCATCCCCGGCCCCTACGGCCCCTGCACAGCCTCTTTGGCTCAGGAGCTCAGGTCGCCTCCAGCCCAGGTAGATCTTGGACAAGCCCAGATTTAGCCTCCCACAAACGAGTCTTCTGGCTGCCTCCCTTCACCAGCAGCACACGGCCCGCATCTCCCCTCACTCCACTCAGCCTCCTTTAACTTCATCCCAGGCGCCTCTAGCCAGGCACTTTTGTTTCCCTTTGTTTTTGCTTCCCACTTCAGGGATGCTTCCAGAGCTGCATGATGTGGGCTCCACTCCTTTGTCCACTGTGTCCTTGCTGAGTTCTCCCATTCTCACTCCCACCCTCATCCTGGTGGGGACCCAGCACTCCTCGTTGACCCCCAACTTCCTCCCTATCAGGTGGACCTGGGAGGGTGACCCCCTTCCGTTCCCACCACTATGCCGGGCACTATGGAGACACTGCGGTTCCAGCTGCTGCCCCCAGAGCCAGATGATGCCTTCTGGGGTGCACCCTGTGAACGGCCCCTGGAACGCAGGTACCAAGCATTGCCGGCCCTCGTCTGCATCATGTGCTGTTTGTTTGGAGTCGTCTACTGCTTCTTCGGTGAGATCTCCCTCATTCTTCCCCTGGGCTCCCCACTGGCTTCTCAAGTTCTTTTTCTGAGGCCCCTAAGTCTTCTCCAGAAGCCCCCCATAAATACCTTCTCTCTCCCCCTTCTCTCCCTTCCTCTCTCACATCTCACACGTTTGTAGATCATCTAGACTCTAGATTCTAGAGAACACAGTGTTTTGAATTAGACATACAGTACTTGAGTTTGAACCTGGCTCTGTACCTTATTGTGATGCCTTGGGCATATTAACCTGTCAGAGCCTCAGTTTTCTCACCTCAGCAAAGGAAACAATGATATTTGTCTCCTATAGAGTTGTTATAAAAATTAGTAGGTATTCAATAAATAGTAACTATCGTAGCAAAGAGGTGTTCAGGTCACTGTGGTAGGGAGGGAGACGCTGAAAACTTAGCAAGGTGGTTAAACATGTCCCCTTACAACAGGGCATATTGTATGATGGGGGAGAGACTCCTGAAATATTCACACTTATGATACATATTAGAGTAGGCTGGATGGTAGTCACACACATGGAGATCGCCTACAAGGCAGGCTCCAGTAATCGAAGCTGCTGAAGAGTATATAGGATGGGTACTGCAAAAGAGAGCTCAGTGAAATCAGGCAAGTGAGAGCTGAAATACAGCTCGTTCTCTGCTTGCCAAACTCAAGCCTTGCAGAAGGCTGCCTTCCCTAGAGAAAGGTACATCTTTTTCTAATTTGCACAAAGTTATCATATGGGCTAACAGCAGCCTAGAATAAATGCCTAGTGATTCTACAGCAAGAGTTACAGAACTTCAGAGAGGAGAGTGGGTTCTACAGGCGGAGGCCCAAGGAAGGAACCAGTGGGACTGGAACCAGTGGGATAAAGGAGGCTGGTAGGTTTGCAGAGGTGGGGCAAGATTTGTCTCTTCAACCTTCATACCTCTCTGCAGAATGAGTGGGTAGATGGGGTGGGAGCCAGCTGGTCCCTCTCAGGCCTCCCCAAACTCTGGACTGAAAAACTGCAGACTGGAAAGCAGAAAGTACCCCCGAACAAGGGTTCAGGACCTGTTCTGGGCCTCCAAAGAATCTGTATCACTTTATTCCCGCCACTGTCTACCCAGTCCCTCTCCAGAGTTCTCAGTGTATCCTCATATTCCTTTCTGTGAGCTTCCCTGACATCCTACCCCTCTTGGATGCTCCTACTCTGAGCCCTCAACTAAGGACCCCACTCCTCTCTCCGACCCCAGAATCACTTGGGCTCCAACAATTGTCCTCACTCCTGGAATAGAACCTGCTCTTTATTATCTTTCTCTGGCTCTCTCTGACTTCTTGAGCACATCTCTGACTTCCATTTCCCCAACTTCACTTCTGTGTCTGTCAGAGATGCCTAATAGGCCTAATAGCTCTAGTGGCCCTATGACCTTTTCTTCGGAAACTCCACAACCACTGTTTCCCTCTATTCTCCTCTTTGATTTCCTATACCCTCCCCCATCTCATTTCCTCCCACCCCTCTGAGCCTTTCTGTGACTGCTAGTTCTGGTCCCTGGTTAGTCCTCTCCGATCCCGGTAGCCTCATCGTTGGATCACCTGTCACTACGTAATAATCACAATAATCCCATTTCTCTGGCTTCAGTGTTCCTCTCTCAAAAGCCCTTTAATACTGTCAGTGACTCAACTTTTGCCAATCCCCCAGACCTGCAAAGACTCCTTCTTCTAGAATTCCTCCCCAATAATTCAGCTCTGTCTTCTAACTTTCCAATGATGCCTCATCTCTGAAGCCCTGTGACCCTTCCAAGTACCTGTGTGACTCTCATCTCTCAAAGACATTTTTCTGACTTCTAAATACCTCACTTCTGAACAGTCCTTCCTCTAAAAGGCCCCTGTGATATTGCCAATCTCACTGTGACTCTGATGACCCATCTTTCTGAGCCCTATGATCCCATGACCCCAATGCCCCATTACTGATTTGCTCAAGTCCAGTGATCTGTCTCTGATGCCTCTGACTTCTAAAGACCCCAAATCATTATCTCAATGGTTATTGTCTTCACAATGAGTCTCAGTGACCATATTGCTCTGACTTTCCTGACCCCAGTGGCCCCATCACTGACATCCTCATGACCCCAGTGACACCCAATTCTCTTACTCAGTATCCTTGTCCAGTGTCATGGTTCCTCTGGGACCCCATGTCCCTGACCCTGCTGACCTCCTCTCTGGCCTGATGACTTCCTTGGCCGCTCAATCGTCCTGTCCCTGTTCCCCTGCAGGTTACCGCTGCTTCAAGGCAGTGCTCTTCCTTACGGGGCTGCTGTTTGGCTCAGTGGTCATCTTCCTGCTGTGCTACCGAGAGCGGGTGCTGGAGACACAGCTGAGTGCTGGGGCGAGTGCAGGCATCGCACTGGGCATTGGGCTGCTCTGCGGGCTGGTGGCCATGTTGGTACGCAGTGCGGGCCTCTTCCTGGTGGGGCTGCTGCTCGGTCTGCTGCTCGCTGCTGCCGCCCTTCTGGGCTCCGCACCCTACTACCAGCCTGGCTCTGTGTGGGGCCCATTAGGGCTGCTGCTGGGGGGCGGCCTGCTCTGCGCCCTGCTCACCCTGCGCTGGCCCCGCCCGCTCACCACCCTGTCCACCGCCGTGACTGGTGCTGCGCTCATCGCCACCGCTGCTGACTACTTTGCCGAGCTGCTACTGCTGGGGCACTACGTGGTGGAGCGACTGCGGGCCGCCCCCGTTCCCCCCCTCTGCTGGAGGAGCTGGGCCCTGCTGGCACTGTGGCCCCTGCTCAGCCTGATGGGCGTTCTGGTGCAGTGGCGGGTGACGACAGAGAGGGACTCACACACAGAAGGTGAGAGAGCGCAGGCTAGAGTGAGTACGGGAGGAGGGGATGGCCTGAGATGGTTGGGGGCCGAGGGACCAGGGATAAGGAACCAGAACTGTTCACACCATCAGCAGAAGGCTTCCACGGGGTAGGAGAGCTGACTTGCTCAGGGTGTGGGAGGACAGGACCAATGCCACCATTCATTCCACAACAACGTATGGTATGGATCCTGGGCCCTGGGCCAACCCCCTTCCTGGCATTAGGGACATAGCAGAGATAAAACAGAGAAGGAGGGACTGGGGATATAGCTCAGTGGCAGAACTCCTGCCCAACATGTGCAAGGCCGTGGATTTGATCCCAAGCACTCCAAAACAAACAAAAAACAAACACCAGAAAAGTTTCCTGCCTTTATGGGTATATATCCAGGGCAGGTGAGAGACAGGTTATAGACATTCAATCCAACAAGATAATTCCTATTTGGAATAGAGTGGTATGAAGGAGATACACAATGTAACATGAAAGAGTGATCATATGGATACTGTTATAGTTAAGGTGGTCAGAGCTACTTGGAGGGGGTGACATGCAGGCAGAGACCTGAGGGATAAGGGGCCAGCCATGGCTTTCAGCTCAAGAAGAGGGAATGATAAGGGCAAAGACCCTGAAAAGAAGTGTGGCTAGCATATTTGAGTAAGTGGGGCTAGTGTGCCATGTGGACATTAGGCCGATCATGAGGGTCCCCTGGGCCATGAGGAGGACACTGAATTTTATTAGAAAAGCAGTGAATCCCAGGGATTTAGCTCAGTGGTTCCGCCGCCTGCCTTGAAAGCACAAGGTCCTAAGTTTGATCCCTGGTACCAAAAAAAAAAAAAAAAATGGTAGGGCTGGGGATTTAGCTCAGTGGTTTCACCACCTGCTGCGCAAGCGCAAGGACCCGAGTTCGATCTCTGGTACCAAAAAAAAAAAAATGGCAGTGAGATGCCAGTGGAGGGTTTAAAGTAGGGGAGGATATAACTTAGTGTTTGGGATGCTTGTTCTGCTGCTGAGGGTAGAAAGCCTTGGAGGGACGCAAGCAAAGAAAAGGCCAGTGAGAAAGCAGTAGTAGCTGTCCCATTGCAAGGTGATGGGGACTGACCTGGAAGAGTTGCCTGTGGCTCAGGATATGGAGTGGGACAACAGCTGGGGAAGGGGGTGCCTGCAAGTCCCAGAATCTCACACAGAGACATTCAGAAGAAAAGGACAACAGAAGGACGGCCCATCCAGGAGGTGGGAGGCTGGGAAAGCAGTGATAGATGTGGTGGAGGTGATGGACAAGGGGAACCTGGAAGCCTGCAGCTCCCAGGTGGACAGAGAAGGGGAGCGCTTGGAGGGAAGAGGTACATGGTCTGCTGAGGCCCTTCTCTGCCATGCCTCCTCAGTGGTCATCAGCCGGCAGCGACGTCGTGTGCAGCTGATGCGGATTCGGCAGCAGGAAGAGCGCAAGGAGAAGCGGAGGAAGAAGAGGCCACCTCGCGCTCCCCAAAGAGGTCCCCGGGCTCCTCCAAGGCCTGGGCCCCCTGACCCTGCTTATCGCCGTAGGCCAGTGCCCATCAAACGCTTCAATGGAGATGTCCTCTCCCCGGTGAGCACTCCGAGCCCCTCCAGCCCGAATGGAGGAGACAGGAGTGTGTAGACTCTGTCCAGGCAGGACTGGGCTTTCCCCAGGGGCTAGTCACTGTCTAGAAGGGCTGGTGTTTGTCCATCCATCCGAACCCCTGTACCAAGGGCCTAGTTAGTCCTGGGGTTGGAGGAAAGTTGTCCCAAATATGGATTTTAAATGGGACAGGATGGGGGGGGTGTCCTGGGCTGTAGACTCTGGATGTGGGGGAATCATGGGTCTGTGTATGGGGGGCTATCAGGCTTGTGTGGGTGCAGGGAGAGGTGGCTTGCAGTGGACTCTCACACCCATGTTACCTCTTCACAGAGCTACATCCAGAGCTTCCGGGACCGGCAGACTGGGAGCTCCCTGAGCTCCTTCATGGCCTCGCCCACAGATGCGGACTATGAGTATGGGTCCCGGGGGCCACTGACGGCCTGCTCAGGGCCCCCTGTACGTGTATAGCTGTGTCTCCTCCTGTCTAGACTGCAGTCACCAGCTCTGCCAGTGTGGGGAGGCCTGCCAGGCTGCCACCCTAACTGCCAGGCCCTGTGGCCTTTGGCTATGCCTCTTCCCTCCCTGGAGGGGGCTGGCCTGGTCACTAGAAGGGAGGATCTGTCTCAGGCTAGGCTTTGCCTGAGTGGAAAACCCCCTCCCATGCTCCCAAGGGACTCAGGGTGTGAGCCCACTGGGGTGTGCTCAGGGTTGTGAGTGTGTCGCCTGTGTGTGCATGTGTGTGAGGGAGTAGGCTTGGAGGGGACACTAGGGCCCTTGCCTTAGATTTTTGATTGGTAGGCCATCCCCAGGGCTGGCCTGCCTCCTCCCCACTGCTGGGGTCCCACGGGCCGCTCTCCTGCATGTCTGTGTGGAGGAGGCCTGCCTGGCTCCACCATTACTCCGCCTCCCAACCACTCATCTAAGGGTTCTTGTCCTTGTCCACAGGGCAAACTGCAACACCCCTCACCCTGGTCCCCTGGCCTCTGCAAAGCCACCAGCCTGACAGCAGTGGCAATGGAAGGGGGTGGGGGGGTCCTGCCCTGGGCTGAGTTGCAGGGGTGTGAGGGAGGGGGGCTTAAATGCACGGTGCATGTCTGGTGTCTGTCATGCCACCTTGGACACCTCATGCTTCTGTCATTCCCCCACACCCTGCTTTACCTCTTTTATAAATGTGCCAAACTTTGTGGCCTCTGCCAGGAGTGGTGGTTGTCAGTGGCTGGCACTTCCATGGGCCAGGCTGGAAGCACTGTAGCCCCAGGCCCCTGTGTCACTTACTACAAGGGCTCCAGGCAGGATCTGTCCTCCCACAGCACAGCACAGCAGGGAGATGAGCTGTAGAGTATTTATTGTTTCCCAACACCTCTGGTTCCCCTGCTTCCCCTGCTTCCCCACCCTGCCTGGGGTGAGGGCACATGCCTTCCAAGCTGTCCAAGGGCACCCTCCTGGCCTGGTTCAGTCCTCCTAGTCACCTGCAGAGGAATGATTCCACATGGGACTTGGAGAAGAGGAGATGCCATCTTCCTCCCCTGGCAGAGCCTGGGCACCCACATGGGAAAAGCTGAGCCCTCAGCCTCTCTGCCTGGCCCTTTTGGAGCCTCTATCAAAGCTGTATGTAGGGGTAGGAAGGTGAGGGTCAGTTAGGGTCAGGCATGGGGGGGCATGTGAAAAGAATGCAGGGACTTGGCATAGAGAATAGGGCAGCTCCTATGTGGAAGAGGGAAGAAAGGGAACTAGCTTCGGAGCTCTCTGTCCAGGCCAACGTTGAAGCCCTTGCTTAGATGGGCAGAACCCAGCTGGAACAGGAAGCAAGGGGAGTAGGATACAGGTGTCAGCACAGATATAGTAGGTGGCTGGGAAGGAGAGAATTGGCAGACATGCGGTGCTCAGGAGAGACTGTCCAGAGCATGAAGGAGTAAGGGAAAGGTGGGGACAGCTGACCAGAACCCAATAGCTCAGGCTGAAAACTTAGGGCTCCTTCCTCTCCTTCATCGGGGGGTGTAATCTATCCCTCCCCTCCCCCACTCCCTACCGCCAACACTTCTTAAAGACGACAGCCAAGACCTTGCCCAGGACCTAGAAAACCTCCCAGAGGTATGTCCCAGCTCCCAGGCGCCCCCTCCTTCCCGGCCAGGTGGCCTGCCCCTCTGACTTCCGCCCTCCCAGTGGGCTTTACTCACCCTCTACAAGCAGCTGTGTGTCGGCGCTGTCCTGGCCGGCCTGGCAGCAGTAGGTGCCCTGGTCCTCAGGTCGCACGTCACGGATGACCAGGCTGTGGGTGGGGCCGTGGCTGCGCATTTCATACTTGTCTCCCGGACACAGCTCGACTCCCTCCCTCAACCAGCACACGTAGCCTCCAGAGCGGGACACGGTCACCTCCAGCACCGCCCGGCGGCCGGCCAGAACCGTTTTCTCTCGAGGGGGGCGGCGGCACATCTGGAGAGGCAATGCTGAGGGTAGAGGGCAGGGCTTAAATTAACAGGGACATGGAGGGCCCCAGGAGGAGACGCATCTCTCTCTACGGCCTCCACTCTGGTCTCCCTCAGTGGGAACAGTCCGTATCCCTGCACCCCAAACTCAGCTTCCTCCCCACCCCCTGCCCAGGAAACGCGCTGCCCTCTGTGACCCGCCCCAAGAGAGCCCCTCGAAGGCAGGCGGGAAGGAGGCAGTGTTCTTAGGATCAGCCCCAGTCCGTCAGCCCTAGGGCAGCAGGTGATGCCCTTCCCAGTCGCCCCCGTCTCAGTAGCTTACCCTCCACCTCCAGCAGAGCCGAGGACTGGGCGGGTCCCGCCTGGAAGCGGACTTCACCGGCGTCCTCCGCGCGCAGCAAGCTCAGCACCAGAATGTGTTTCTTCCCTGGGGGTGAGGGGGGCGCTAGCGAGGCCGGAGCCTCCCCTGGAGAGGGTTGGGGATGAGGGTAGAACCAGAGTAGGCCCCCCGGGTAGGTTCGGACCGGTAAGTGTGCGCCGGGATGGGCGGAGCAGGGATGCAGAGGGGGAACAGGAGCCCTGCAGGACCCCGAGCTGGGGCTGAGGAAACTTCCGGAGAACTGGCTGGTTGGGCTGTGGGGCGGGGCCTGTTTGAGTGGAGGCGGAGCCTATCCTCATGGGGCGGGGTCTGCCTGAACCTGGGGCGGAGCAGCCAGGGGCCGGAGAGGATAGAAAGGGGGCCAGACCTTCCTGTCGGATGCGGATGCGGCCTCCGGGTCTCAGCTGGCGGCCTCCAAGCTCCCAGCATCCTGGGGTCTCGGCCTCCGACACGGTGCATTCGAACGTGGCGCCGTCCCCTTCGCGGGCCCGCACCGCCCGAAGCTCGCGGAGCACTGCGACGCGGCGCTCTGGGGCGGAGCCCGGGGCGTGAGGGGGTGGAGAGGCTTGCCCGACCACGCCCACACCACGCCCCCTCGCCAGAAGCTCCTGGGCCAGCCCAGGGTAAAGACAGGTCCGCAGTCCCCGCTCCCACTGCAGTGCCCAGGCCTGGCATTTCCCTATACCCACCGCGCACGGTCAGGCGGACGGGCCCGGCTCGGGACGTCTCCACCGCGCAGCTGTAGGTCCCCGCGTCCGAGGAGCTGCAGCGCCGCAGCTGGAGAAGGCGGCGCGTGCCTAGGGCCTGGAGCCGAAGCCTGGGGCTGGGCAGGAGCGCGCACCCGTCCTGGAGGCGCAAGTTGCAGAGGATCGTGAGGAGCCCAGCTGGGCCCCCGCAGCTACGGCCCTAGAGGGCGGCGGCGCCCACAGTTGAGGCTAAGCTGTTTGTTTGGAGGCGTGTTTATGCATGCCTCTTTGGCAAGATGTCACTCTTTGGGACTTTAGGGCTGAGGAAGGGCACTAAGGGTACAGAGATAGACCATAGAAGGTATGAGTGCGGATTCTATTAGGCAGACCTGGATTCAAGTAAGCTCTACCCCTTTTGTCTGCAAGTGGGCAAATAAATTCATGCCACCGAGGGTCAATTTCCTCATAGGATTGTGGTGAGGCTAAAGGACTAAGTGTAGTCTAAATCTTAGTACAGTCCAGGCACACCCATCCGGTGAGTTCTGCTGTGGGCATTATTATTGTTATGCCCATGAGGTCTGCGCTGGGGCTGGGCTCTGACCTTCTCCCAGGTAACATCCGCCAAGGCCTGGGAAAGTTCACACTCCAACGTAGCTGTGTCACCTTCAGTCACCTCTAGGTCCTGTGGCCCCCGAACAATGGTCACCGGGACCTCTGAGAGTGGGAGAGGGAGGACAGTACAGAGGAAGCATGGGTAAGGGCAAGATGAGGACCCAGGTGGCAGGGACAAGGACGCAGGCACAAGGGGTCAGTGGCAGACACATTTGGACAGCACGATCAGTGGAGGCCACTAATGAGTGAGGGATGTGAGAGGACAAGTGGCTCTGGTCAGTAGAGGACCCAGTAGGGCCAGTGGGGTGGTGAGGGATACAATGGGGTTTAGAGGGGAATGGGAGAGACTGGATCGGAGGTGCCAGTGGAGTCACCTGAAGGCAGGAATGGCCGGTGGGGGCCACACTTGGCTGCAGTGGACAGCAGCAGACATGGGTCAGTGGGGCCTCAGTGGTTCGCAGAATGGGGTGGGAGGCAGTGTACTGTGGCCAGTGCAGAACACACTGGACTGGAAGCAAACCTGGGGGCCTTCAAGCAGAACTGCCAGTGAGGTCACCCATAGACAGTCAGTGGGTTGGAGGGCCTTGAGTGGTCACAGCGGCCACACTCGGGCAGGCAGAGGGGCCACAAGATGAAGGGGTAGTAGTAGCCTCACAGTGGCCAAACTAGGCATGGTGGTGCACACCTGCAATCCCAGCACTCAGGAGGCTGAGGCAGGAGGATCACCATGAGTTCGAGGGCAACCTGGGCTACACAGTGAAAGCCAGCCTGAACTATCTTGCCTCATAAACCACCACCCCCACCTCCAAATTAAGAGAAAATAAAGAGGCAGGGCAGTCTCTGGGGCCACACAGGGCCAAAGGGTCAGGGAGTCACACTGTGGCAGGCATGCTGGTGAAGGCCACACGGGTAGTGGGATTATTTGTCACATGCGGGGGGATGGGCAGGGCCGCAAGGTCAGCAAGCAGGCGGCAGGCGAAGGCCACACCTCTCACAGTGAGTCTGGCAGCGCAGCGCAGGGCATCCGCCGTGAAGGAGACACAGCCCGAGTCAGCCAGGCCCAGGCCCCTGAGCACCAGACGGTGAGTGTGGCCCTCGGCGTGAATGTGGCACCTGGGCCCTGGCTGCAGCCGGACTCCACCCCGTGCCCACTCCCCGATCACACCCTCCTGGGACAGCTCCAGTTGGAAGGTGGCACTGCCCCCTTCGCTGACAGTCATATCCTCCAGAGGTCGAAGTGCCCGCAGCTGCCGAGCTGGTGTGGGGAGATGGGGAGAGAAGGAAGATTTGGGCTCCAGCTCCGTGCAGGGGTTGTCGGCTCATTTGCCTCGGGCCTGCCCGAACCACTCCCTGTGGCCCCAGTTCTGAAGTGGGGTGGGGCAGGCAGGAAGAAGGGAGCACAACCGGCTAGACTTGGCAGGGGCGGACTGGTGATAGAACAGGGGGACAGAGAAGGGATGAGGTATGCTTAGGGGGTTGGGCCATCTGGGCGAGGGGTGCTGTGACGCTGGGAGGAGCAGGGAATTTGGGGTCAGACACCATATGGTTTGTGCGCTTTGTGATCTTTGGCAAACTGCTTGACCTCTCTGGGGCCAATTAAATAAGGTAAGTAACACTGAGACATGAGTTTGTTGGCATGATTAAATTGAAAGGGAATATTTACCATAAACGACCATTCACCAGGCTTTATGTGAGCATTTTTCACACTATCTCAGTTAGTGTCCTTAAAGTCCATAGAAGGAGACAGCAGCCCCATTTTTAAGGAGACGTGGCTCAGAGCTGTCAAATAACATGCACGAGGTCACAGAGCTAAAGGAAGGCTCCAGGAAGGGCTAGGGGGAGGGAGGTGCCATTTGCCAGCCATCTTTGCTTCCTAAATGGGCACTTCTACCCCTGGGGTATGTGGCTAAAGCATAAGCATGGAGAGCCTTTCTAGAGTATAGTTTATGTTTCTAGAGCAATGTTTATGTTCATAGCAAAGCCAGCTCAGGAATATGAAGTGGAATGCAAAATCACATGGACTTCTGAGGTAAACAGAACATCAGAAAAAGAAAAGTTCTGTTTGGGGCAGCTGCTGGGTTGGCCAGGGCTGACCTCCCTGGGCAGCAAGGGGCACTTTGGCAGGGGTCTCAGGGGCTTAGGGCAGCCTGGAGAGGCCGGGCGGAGGGGCAGCTGACACGTTAGAAGCCGACTGGACACTCACGCCTCACGCTGAGCCTGGCCAGGGTGCGGTCGTGCGGGCTCTCGCAGCCATAGGTGCCCTGATCGGCCAGCACCACGCCATGGATGAAGAGGCGGTGGACGTGGCCCTCCTGAGCCACGGACAGGCGCGAGTCAAGTGGCAGTGGTTCCCCGCCTCGCATCCAGCGCACGGCCCCGGCGGTGCCCACACGGCCTGTCTCCACTTTGAGGCACATGTCCTGGCCTTCCTCCACCCGGATGTCCTGAAGTCGCCGCAGGAACAGCAACTCTGTTTCTGGTGGGGAGGAAAGGAGGAGGCCATGGAGCCGGGGACAGGTGGCTGGCCCTGGTTCCTCTTACTGCTCTGTCCCTAGGCTGAAGGGCAAGGCTGCTAGGGCCGTGGTCAGGGCACCAGTTCTGGGATCAGAGCCCTTTGCCCTCATTAGCACCAAACCTCGAACGTGGAGCCGGGCACTGGTGGCTGTGCCCCCCGCCTGTGCTGTCACAGTCCCTGCATCCTCGAGCTGGCAGCGTCGCACGGTCAGTGTCCGGCTTGAGCCATTCTGGGCCATCTCCAGCTGGGGCCCTGGAGTGACGACAGCTCCATTGCGCAGCCAGGTGACACTGGCGTCTGGTGGTGAAACTTCACACCGAAATGTGGCATCATCGCCCTCGTGGACAGTGAGTGGTATCAGCTCTGAGACCAGCTTCACTGGTGGGGACTCTGGAGGGTGGGGTCGGGCAGTGAGCCAGGCTGGGCCCTTCCCTTTCTCTCTTTCCATCCCCTCCTCAGAGTACAGGCTTCCTCCTCTTTGAGGAACCTGGGAAAAACAGCCTGTACCCTCGTGCAAGGAAAAGTCATGCAAGCATAGCCGAGCCACGGCTCAGACGCTGTGAGGGGTACAGTTACCTTCCACAGTGACGAGGAAGATTCGGCTGTCGTGGGGTGCATCACACAGGTACTCCCCAGCGTCCTTGCTCCGTGCCCTCTGCACCCTCAGCACTTGCCTGGCCCCAGCCTGCTCCAGCTGCACCCGGCCCTGGCTCGCCAGGCGCTCCCCATCCTTGTACCAGCGCACAGGGGCCCCTGGCCCGGAGAGGTGCACCACCAGCTCCAGGTCCCCGCCTGGGGTGCTTCGAACCCTCGTCTGGGCTGCCTCAGGGGCCACCACTCGCACGGGGGGCTCTGTGGGGTCAGAGCTGGAGGTCACTGGGAGATAGAGGCTCAGGGTGGCAGGAGGGCAGGGAAGCCGGATGGGAAAGGTGGAGAAAGGGATGGACAAGGTCTGCTAGGAAAGCAGAGGCGTTCAGGGTGCTTGAGGGTGCTCGGGCCCTCTGCTTAGGCTCTACTCACCAGCCACCTGGACAGTGAAGCTGAGGCTCGGTGCCCCAGAGGCTGCCCCACACTGGCAGGTATAGAGGCCTGCATGGGCCCATTCTGCAGCCCGGATGCAGAGGGCACGGCGGGGACCCTCGGCCTGGAGCTCCAGGCCCTCGCCTTCCTGCACTGGCCCCCCATTGTGGCTCCAGAACACGGGAGCAGTAGCCCGGGACAGTTCGCAGCTCAGCACCACAGGCTCCCCGGGGGCCACACGGAGTGGGCTAGGGGGTGCTTCTGGTGCGAGAAACTGCACCAGGGGCTCTGTACAAAGAGAGGAGGGTGTGAGCCCATGCCTGCCCCACCACCCCTCCCAGGGCTGGCCGGATGCACCCACCAGCCAGGCTGACATTGAAGGTGACGGCCTCGTCACGGGTCTCACACACATACTCCCCAGCGTCCTCGGGCTGGGCATGGGGCAGGGTGAGAGTGCGGGAGGGCCCCTCGGCGCCCAGTTGCAGGGCCTCAGATGCTTCTACCTCCAGCCCATCCTTGTACCAGCGCACTTGGGACCCAGGCGGGGCCACCTCACAGTGCAGCTCCACACGCCCTGGCGCCCCAAACTGCAGATCCAGGGTGCGGGCCACTGGGTGCACGATCCTCTCTGGTGGGGCTGGTGGACAGGCAGACAGAGGGCCACATGGATTGGACCAGCAGCCTCTTCCTGTCTCACCCACCTCCAGATGTGCAGCCCTCTCCCCTTGCAGTTCGGCTCTTGGAAATGTACCAGCTACCACCGGAAGGCACTCTGTGCCAAGAGACCCTTTGGCTCTTTTTTCAGCTACTCCAGGCCACTGCGCTTCACAGATAAAGACCTGAGGTTCTCCTCGGTAGAGAGAAGGGACTTGCCCAGGGTCACAGACCAAAGAGGAGACCCAAACTCACCCTCAGATGTACACAGCCCTCCCTAAGTCTCCCTCCACTCTCCTTCCTGCTCCCCGATTTGCCTGATGTACCATCGCCACCCAGCATCCCATTTATTCTACATAGTTTTTTACTAGACTGTAAGCTCTGTAAGATTGTGTCTCATTGGCTCACTAGTGTATGCCCAGCATCTAGAACAGTAGCGAGCAGAGAGTCGTTGCTCAATAAATATTTGTTGAGTAAATGACAGAATGAATGGTCCTAACTGCTGGGCCCCTCCCAGCAGGCCGGTATTCACTGTCCCAACTTGGTTTAAGCAAGGCAGGTGCTCTGACGGCTTAGAATGAGGAGGCTGGGGAGCTGGGGGTGACTGGGGGGGCAAGCAGGGGTCCTTAAGATGCAGGAAGTAGGGCTGTGTGGGTGTCCTGTCTCAGTCTCCTGCTTCACTGCCTCCCCATGGGTGCCCCAGACACTGCCCACCTGTGACGGTGACAGTGAAGAAGGCCGAGTCGTCTCCAGCATCGCACACAAACTCGCCCCCATCCTTGGGCTGGGCAGCAGGTAGAATGAGGCGGCGGCGGGGCCCATCACTCTCCAGAACCAGGGCCTCGCTCTCCTCCACCTCCAGGCCATCTCTGTACCAGCGCACCGGGGCATCCGCCCGGGACAGCTCGCACATCAGTACCACACACTCCAAGCTCACGGCGATCAGGGTCACCTCATCCCGGGGGTAAATGATCCGCACGGGGGGCTCTGCAGAGGGGGCACCACAGCAAGCTCACTGTCAGGCTCCCTGCAGCTATTTGGCAGCATGAAGTCTCTGTCACCCACAGGCCAACAGGAGTAATGAGTGCAGCAATGAGCAACAATAGGCCCACATAGCTCTAGACAATAATAGGTTCCCCTCTGAAATCCCTGGGGCCAGTGACGGTGTAGAATCCAGAATCCCTTGGATTCTCGAAAGGATGGATCTCACGGATCATATCCTCAGCCCCCACTGGACACCTCCCCCCGTAATCATCACAGTAACACTTCTGCACCGTAACATATATTCACCCCGAGCAGGATAAATGGAAAGATATATTCTTACACATGTAAATGTATAGCTAGACTCACCTGCCTGGATAATTAAAGTAGAAATGGCTTCACCATAGTTAAACTCGGTTTTACCGCAATGATTTTGAATACTAAACTTACAAAAAGCCTTTTGATTTTGAGAGCTTTGGGGATTTCAGAATTGTGAGTAAGGAATGGTGGCTATGAAACAGTAAACAGTAAACGCTTCTCTATTACTTCCAGAACAGTCCTGAGCACTTCAAACATTTTCCCTCAGTGATCCCAGGAGGTGCATATTTTCCAGATGAAAGAACAAGAGTGCAGAGTGATAGAGCAGTTTCCTTAAGGTCACAGCTGGCTATAACTACTCTAGGGCGGGAGGAACAAACACCATCTGTCCCAGGGAGGCTCACACTGTACAGGCAGTGGGAGCAATTCCAAGCCCAGGCTTGGACTCATGAGTGCTTTTCGCGTCTGTGCTTGGCAGTTGCCAACACCTGTCTGGGAGTTCCCTAGGGATGATACATGCTGCCTCTGCGAGCTCCTCTCCACGTGCTGACCGCTGCTCCACAGAAAGGGAGCCACGTCAATGTTGGAGGTGACCAGTGCCTTGAGCCCAAGCCTGCCCACACCCTGGCTGCCCGCAGCATCATCTCCAAGAGACCTTCGTTTGGCCCCCTTGTGGTTGGGCTGGGGAACTGCTGGCTTCTGTACAGGAGCACAGGCTCCTCTGCCTCCCTAGGGACTGCTCCCTCTTGCTCCTGCAACTGACCTCCTCAGATGGGGCCTGCTCTAAGCCTGGAAGATGCAGGCTGCTTCTCCAGGGCCCAGCAAGGCCAGGAGATTACAGAGGGAGGCTGGCTGAGTCGGGGGGTTGTGGGGACAGTGGGGTGAGGAGAGGGTGCAGTGATGGGGCTGGTGTGTCTGCACAGCCCAGGGCACTCAGGTTGGTGTGGGACCTGGATCCCTCTGCCTACAGCTGAGGCGGTGTTTATGCAAAGTTCCTTGAGAGGAGACTGGAGTATTGTGGGGCGTCCAAGTGTGGGCTGGGATTTGTGTGGCTGTGGCCATTATGTCTGGCCAGGGCTAGGCTAAGACAGGGTGCAGATGAGTGGAAACAGGATAGGTGTGCAGATCTTGTTTGCACCGTGTATCACCATCTGGGGTGCCGGGAGCAGAGGACCCCTAAGCAGCTCTGCCTGGGATGGGCATTACTCCCAGGGCAGGGGAGGGGAGGGGGTGACAGGACTGTGCTAGCGGGGTGGTCACTGCAGTGTGGCCATCTGGGACTTCTTCTGTACCACCCAGAGCTGCCTGAACAGCCCTACACATACATACGGTGACTGTGGTCCTAAGGTCTCCAACACAGAACACCATCACTTCCAGGTTGTTCCGCCTGTTTCTAGAACTTTCTCTGCCTACCTCACCCCCACCCCCACGTAGCCCTGGTAGCAGCTCTGAAGGCACTTTCTGCTGTCCTGACCAGGAGAGTGGCCCCAGCCTTGGGATTCCTATGGCGGCCCTCAATTGCCCACTCTTCTTGGGCCCTTTCAAGGGCATGGCTCTCCTGCAAGGCTGTGCACTCTGGGAGGAAGTCGGAGAGTCTGTCTGCATGCTGCTGGGTATCCAGGGCCCAGGCCAGGGCTGGACTTGATGGATGACCTTCTCGAGGCCCTCCCTGCCTCTCTTCTCTCCTCTTCCCTCACAGCACTTAGCACAAGGGGTCACTGTACATTTATTTGCATGTTTATTGGTTTAACAGGGGTGGCAAACTCAAAAGCCCACAGGGGCCAGGTAGGTTAGGTCAGTTGCTGAAGTGGTGTGGGAAGCAGCAAAAAAAGGGATGGCAGGGAGGGTGGGACAGGTTATGGGCCCCATACTATGGGGCAGCTGCTACTCAGCACCAGCCATTCGTCGCCATGGGGGAAAGCGGGACCAGAGCCGCCGGGTCTTCGGCTTTTTCAAGAGGACGCATAACTCCGGATTGTTATTTGAACTGTCCTGACTTTGGTAAGACTCTGCAGGCCAAATAGAACACATCTGTGGGCTGCACAGGGGCCCCAAGGACTGCCTGTTTGTGACCCCTGGTTAACAGCCACTGCCCCACCTAGCCTGGCAGCTCCCTGAGAACAGAGACAGACCATGTCTGTACTGCTTAGCAGTTACTCTCGGCCCCTGGCCCAGTGCCTGGTTGAGACTGTTCAGTTGATGAGCTGGTGTAACACAGCTAGTCCTGGCCTTGGCACTGGGGAGGGGCCTGTTCACCTGAATGGGGATCCAGGCTCTTCCCAGCAGGACCCTCATGCATGCACCTGGAGCCCACACCCCCTTCCTCCAAGGAAGGGACTATTTGGCAAGCTCCCCCAGGGCTCAACTGTCCTCTGCTGACCCTGGGGAGCTGGGGTGGACCCATACCTGTGACCGTGACAGTGAAGGAGGCTGACTCATCATCGATTTCACACAAGTACTCGCCAGAGTCCTCCAGCTGGACGGCGGGTAGCACTAGGCGGCGAACGGTGTCCTCTTTCTGCAGGAGTAGCGCTGGACTCTCCACCACCTCCTCACCATCCTTGGTCCAGCGCACCTCAGCCCAGGGCCGGCACAGCTCACAGGTCAGCACCACACGCTCCAGGCGCACGGCTGCCACATACACCTTGCCACTGGGATACACAATCCACGAGGAGACATCTAAGAGGACAAGGATAGCCACCGCTGGGCATGAAGACCTGTGGCCAGCGTGCCCAGCTGCCCCCTGAATAAAACTGTCATGGTCAGGGAAACACAACCAGCCACCAAAGCAGAAGCTCTGTGCTATGCAGGAGCTGCAGTGGGATCACGTCAACCTCAGCTGCAGAAACACCTGTGCCCTTCTTGTGACAGGGACCGAGAATGAAGGCTTAAATGGAGGACAGGAGGTTTGGGTCCTTGGGTGGAGCTATGGTCTCCCTCAGGCCTCTGAGAGCTTTGGAGCTCTCTGGTGCCTGAGACCCTCTGCCCTGCAACAGAAATGCCATCCCCAGAGAGTACCCTTGGCACGGGTCTTAGGACGATGGAGAATGCAGGGTTTCCCTGCTGCCTTCTATAGCCAGGACCATGTGCTCACGACACTGCGGTTTGTGAGTGTGGCTAGACCACAGGCAGAGGAGAAAGGGAAGGCTGGAAAGGCTGAAGAGTGACCAAGGACTGAGACTGTGACCATGGCTCCAGCTGGCCCCAGACCTGTGATGGTGACTGTGAAGTAGGCACGTTCCTCTCCAGCCACACACTGAAACTCGCCCCCATCGTGGGGCTGAGCGGCAGGCAGCACCAAGCGGTGATGTGGCCCTTCATTCTCTAGCACTGTGAAGTCGCTCTCTTCCACCTCCTGGCCATCCTTGTACCAGCGCACGAGGGCGTCCTCTCGGTCCACCTCACAGGTCAGCATGACACACTCAGAGGTTATGGCATGTATGAACACATGCTCCTGGGGGTCCACGATGTGCACTGGGGGGTCTGGATGGGAAAGAGACGATCACACAGACACCCCCCATGTTGGAGGCCTGAATCCAAGCTGGCCTTGAGGTGAGGACACACTGTGCATGGGAGGACACTGGAGGGAGGAACGTAAAGCTATGCTGGGGAACAGGTTCAGGGGCAATGACATGAGATCCTGTTGGCATGGCAGGCGAGGGATGACAGAAGATCATGGGGCATCTGAGTGCCCCATGGGTCTCCCAGAGGATGAGAGGTAGCTGAGTGGGGACTTGGAGGAAGGAGGCATGTAGAGCTCACACAGTGGCAGTCACCACTTAGGCAGAGGTCACTGTAACAAGCCACATTGGCTGAGCTTGCAGTTTCCTTTACAGAGAAGCCCCCGGGATGGGCAGGAGGTGGAGAATGACTTAATGAGTGACAACCAGCTGCTCCATGGGTAGTGGCACAGGGCGTGTTTCCAAAGGTCCATGTGTTGAAAGCTTGTTTCTCAGGTTAGTGCTATTGGGGGAGCTATGGACCTTTAGTAGGAGGGGCCTGTGAGAAATCCTCAGGTTGTTGGGGTGGCCCCTGAAGGGTATTGTGGGACCCCAGCCTCTTCCTTTTTCACTTGCTGGACATGAAATGAGTTTTCTCAACCACATGCTTCCTGCCACACCCCCCAGAGGCCCAATGCAATGGATCCAACCCATCTTGGACTGGAACCTCCAAAACTCTGAGCCAAAAGAAGCCTTTTCTCTTTATAAGTTAATTATCCCAGGTATTTCATTAGTGACAGAAAACTGACAAACACATGTAGTGAGTTCCTAGTCACCAGGTGCATTCAGATAGGGGCCATGGAATCTCCTGGCAGTGGTGCTATAAGCAGGATTTCCACCCAGAGGGAGAAGAGGAGCAGAATCTGTGCTTCCATGCTGTCCTCCCCAAGAGTCAGGTTGGTTAAGAGAGGACTCTCAGGCTCGGTCCTGAATGCTCTGGTTCTGGATAGCCCAGGAGGCCTGGGCATATGCATTTATAGCAAGCTTCTAGGGTATTCCTCAGGCAGTCAGACCACTGACTGCCTTGTAAGAACTAGAACAGCACACTTAACACTTTTGTATGATGTGACCACCTAGAGCAGTAGGAGGCCAGACCAAGTGTGAACTGGAGCTATGTTTGCTGGCCATGTGATAGGAGGGAAGGGAGTCACATTACCTCTCTAAGACTCAGTTACTTATCTGTGAGCTGGAATCCACTGCCCTTCAATAGTGCATGAAGAAGAAATGAAGCAATGTATTATGAAGTACCTCACATACTACTAGATTCAGAATAGGGGGCCAATAAATTTTAGTTCCCATTCCTCCTTCAATTGCCTTTAGTTCTCTCACACAAGCCAGCAGAGGGATCTAGGGGGGAAGTATGCTGGAGGGTGTTAGTGCAGAGTGATCTAAGACACATCTCCTGGCCCACTAGGCCTTCCCTGTGTAAGGTCTCTCCACTCCCAAGCAGAGAGACCAATGGCCCCCAGAATCAGCCCCAGCTGGAGAAGCCCAGGCCAGCATGGTTCCTGACCTTGGACAGCGACACTGAAGAAAGCCGAGACCCCTTCTGTTCTGCACTCAAACTCGCCGCTGTCTTGGACTTGGGCCTCAGGCAGGATCAGACGATGTTTGCGCCCATCCACCTTCACCAGCAGTGACTCACTCTCCTCCACTTTCTGCCCATCCTTGTACCAGGCTGCTGGGAAGTCCACTCGAGAGAGCTCACAGGTAAGCACTACGCACTCCGAGGTCGTGAAGGTCAATGACATTTTGTCCTCAGGACTGAGGATGTGCACCGGGCTCTCTGCATGGGGAGAAGTGGTCACATGCAGCATCTTCAGATAAGCATCCCTCCCCGTGGGACATGCTCAGTGTTGGGCAGGGGCATCAGGAAAGATAACTGCTGTCAACACATTTGTTGGGCCTTAAAAATTAAGTTTGGGTTTCCCATAGTTTGGATATGATTTGAGTGCGTCCCTCAAAGGCTCACGTGATGGAAGCTTGGTACTCAGTGTGGTGGTGCTGGGAGGTGGTGGAACCTATGGCTGCAGCCCATTCGCAGGAAATGAGGTCATTGGGTACATCACTCTTGGAAGAGATTAATGTAGTTCTCATGGGACCCTAATTAGGTCTTGAGATAGTGTGTTATTATAAAGCAGGGACATCCTAGGCTTCTTCTGCACACAGCTATTTGCCTTCTCACTTCTCTTCCACATTGTGCCTAAGCCTACGTGGCCCTCACCAGGGGCTGAACCATGGGGCTCCCCAATCCTGGAACTTTCAACTGCTAGAACTATGAGCTAAATAAACCTTTCTTTATAAAGCACCCAGAATCAGGTGTTCTGTTATAACAATTTTTTTTTCCTGCCAGCGCTGGGATGGAACCTAAGGCCTCGCTCACACATGCTAGGCAAATGTTCTACCACCAAGCTTTGTCCCTAGCCCTGTTAGAGCAACAGAAAATGCCCCAGGACAGCCGTGTACCCCAACTTTTAAGAGGAGTGGTTTTGGGCTGGGGATGTAGCTCAGTCATGCAATGCCTGCCTGGCAAGCATGAGACCGAGTTCAATTCCCAGTACAAAAGAAAGAGGGGTGGTTTTAGTGTGCCTGAGTTCCTAGGGCGCCTGCCAAAATGCAGATTCTCAGAGCTCCAAGCACGCAGGGGCCGTGGAACCTGCATTATAAACCTGTGATGTTGGTGATCCTGGGTCATATTTTGGAAATGCTGCTCTGGTTGCCGTTTATTTCTCTCCTTGCCTCAGCTTGCCATGCTGCCAATTAGCCACCTTAAGGACTCAAGCTTGGGTGCTGCTGGATTTCTTGGTTGATCTTACAAACTCCAGCCATGGTGAGATGGCAAACACCACAGTGTTCCTTGAATTTTCAGCCCTCCTACCTGTAGCTGTCCTCCTCTGGGATGCCTCATTCCTTCTCTTTCCCTGTTTCAACAGGAGGCCCATGGGAATTCCGGAGCCAGACTGCCATAACCCAGCAGCATCACTCACTAGCTTTGTGACTTTGCATAAGTCATACAACCGCTTTCTACCTCATTCTCCCCACCTAAAATGGGATAATAAAAGAACCTATCTTACAGGGCTGTTGAGAAGGTTGTGGTCATTTATGTCAAGTGATCAGGACTGTGCCTGGCATGGAGGAAGCTGCTACGACAGTGCTGATGACTAGCCAACAGGGCAGGAAGTGGTCAGGGACTAGAAGCTGGAGTCCATGTCTCTCAGATGAGATGATAAAGGGACAGAATTCTGTAAAGCACAAAGCACTCCAGACAATTGGCACACGACGAGGATGAGGATAACAAGGGATGCCCTGTATGTTTCGTGTGTGTTGAAACTGGCCTTTTGGACCTCCGAGCCCTCAATAAAGCAATCATGGATGTAAGATGTGCCTTTCTCTTCTAGCCCAGCTTTGAGAAATGGGAACAGCATTGCCTTGTCTGGCAACAGGACTTCTGAGTCTTGACCCTGTCTACCCATTTCAGTCCCTACCAGCACCAACCTTGGATGGTGAGGGCGGCTGAGTCCTGTACGCCAGGGCAGCTGAAGCCAACCAGGGCCCCGCTGTCCTGGTGCTTGACAGCTTGCAGGATGAGTCTGTGCTGTAGGCCCTTCTGCTCCTTCCGGTACTGCAGGGCCCCAGGTGCCACCTGGCCCTCTGGTTCATTACCCTTGAGCTCCTCCCCATTAAGGAACCAGGTACCCTGGATGATGGTGGAGAGCTTGAGGGAGAAGACAGCATCTTCCCCCTCGTATACCTGCACATCTTCCAGACCTGCCACCAGGCGAGCTGTGGGCACTAAGGTAAACACAGAGTGTGGCTGTCAGAACGGGAAAGGGTACCAGAGGGCAGGGGCTGGAAGATGGAAAGATATAGGAAGACAGAGACTGAGTGCCAGGGAAGGGAAGAGAAGTGGTAGGGGGGTATGACTTGGGGTACCACTGACAGGCAGGGTCTGGCAGGACTGACTCACCGAGGTGAGCAGAACCCTGGAACACAACGTGGGGACTGCGGCCGTGTTCGCTGACCGTGCAGATTCGGAAGCGGTAATCACCCTCAGAGGGCACGCAGTCCCCAGGCACCTCCACAGCTCCGGCTTTGTCGATGCTAAAACACTGGATCCAGTCTTCGGAGCCTACCTCTTGCCGCTCCAGCCGGTAGATGAAGGAGGTCTCAGGAAGTGGCTCCGGAGGCTTCCAGGTCAGCAAGACGGTGTTCTTGTGGCCCTTGAACATCTCAACCAACATGGGCGGTCCTGGAGGATTGTGCTTGACGCCTGAGACAGAAGCGGGGTTTGCATTTGAGCCTCACAGAGCCTCCTAGAGCCCTTTCACTTTAAGTCGACTTTGGCAACCCAGGCCCTAGAATCTGGTCACCCTCCCGCCCTGACCCTCCTGTCCAAGGGCTCTCACACCCTCACATTTGACTCTGAGCAGAGTGGTTGTACGGGAGTGGCCCAGGCTAAAGGTGACCTCGCCAGCATCTTCTCTGGTGACCCCTGGAAGGACCAGGGCATGCATGTGGCCAGAGCTGCTCTGGCAGGTGGCTGGCAGCTCCTCCCCGTCACGGCTCCAGTGTCCTTTGACCCCAGCTTCTTGTGTCTCCACCAGCAGCACAGCGTTCTCTCCCTCCAGGACATCGAGCTTCCGGGGCAACCTTTTCAGTATGGGCCCTGAGATGTGAATGGGAGGGAGTCCATCAGCCTGCTGTCTAGGCTCCTGCCTGCCTTAGCCTGGGCCTCCTCCCACTGGCCAGCCAACCTTTGACAGTCACGTTGGCCACGGTGCGAACCCGGCCCCGCATCTCGCACAGGTAGACACCATCGTCATCTGCCTTCAGCCTGTGGATGATGAGGCGCCTAACAGCACCCTCCTCAATCTGCTCATACTTGCGGCAGGGCAGTAGTCGTTGGTCCTCTCGGAACCAGGCTGTGGGGATGCGGGAGTTGGGAACTTTACACTCCAGCACTGCAATGCCATTCTCCCGGCCCTCCATGTCCTGCAGGGGCCTCGCGAAGCGGAGGCGAGGCTCTGCAGAGAAGAGACAAGAGAAGGTTCTGGAGAGGGGCCAGCCCCACAGGACTGCTAAGCATCCATGAATGCATGCTGTTTCTCTTCCCCCTAGAGCCTTCAGGCCTGTGCAGTCTCAGCAAAACCACCGGAAGGAATGGAAGATGGCCTAGCTTCTCGTGTGGCCTTGACACTCACTAGGCTCATCAAGTCACCTTGAGCAATCCATTTTGATGTTCCTGTGCCTGAGTTTCCTTACTTGTAAAATGGGGAAATGAAGGGGAGGAGCTGGACCAGATCAGTGATTCTTAAATCTGTCCCCTGGGCCTCTCAGAGGTACATCACAAATTCTTCACGGATCTGAGTTAATTTTCATTTTTAAAGCATTATAACCATTTTCAAAACTGTATTTCAAACTCAAGAAATACAAGGCTGCAGGGGCTGGGGATTTAGCTCAGTGGTTCTGGCACCTGCCTCGCAAGCACAAGGTCCTGAGTTCGATCCCCAGTACCGAAAAAAAAAAAAAAAGAAATACAATGCTGCAAACAAGCAGAGGGTTAACTTGGGTTGCTGGAGAAGCTAAGCTCTGGGAAGTTCCTCTGGCTTTTCTTTCTTGAGTCCAAGTCAGCACTGGCCAGGCAAATTTGGGCACAGCAAGGTGTACCAGTGAGGCCACCACCGCAGTCCAGGTGCCACATGCTTGACTGCACAGCCGGCAGGGCTCACAAGAATTTGCCAACATTTTTTCCTCTGATGGAGAAAGTTGGGCACTAATCAGTGAAGGTATAATCTCTCTAGTTGTGATAAAATTCTATGATGGAGAGCTTTCATTGCAGTGTGTCTTTGGGGTGTGTTTTGTTTTGTCTGAATTTCCTGTTTATGAATAATGTAAGCATCTATTAGATATCATTGGTAATTCAACTTTGTAATACTCAACAATTAGTTGGGCACGGTGCCACATCCCTGTAATCTCAACTCTTGGGAGGGTGAGGCAGGAAGTTCACATTTGAGTCCACTTTCGGCATCTTAGTGACACCTTATCTCAAAATAAAAAGGGCTACAGGGTCAATGCAAAGGTCCTGGGTTCAATCCCCAGTACCACAAAGGAAAAAAAAAATGCAGGACATTTTTCCTCCCTCAAGTCTACCTCTCCTGTGAATGGGTCTACAGACCTGGGGCCTTCTCCACAGACCAACTACAAATAAAGCCTCCATTCCAAATGTACCTATTCAATACAAGGGCCCCCTTATGCTCACTGGCTAGTGTTATAAGTACACAATGTAAACTTAGATTTAACAATTTACACCCATAAAATGCTTTCTGTATGTGTGTTTGTGGTACTGGGGATTGAACCTAGGGGCACTCTACCACTGAGCTACATCCTCAGCCTTTTTTATTTTTTGTTTTGAGACAAGATCTCCTTAAGTTGCCCCGGCTAGCCTCAAGCTTGTGTCCCTCCTGCCTCAGCCTTTCCAGTTAAACTCTCCATTTACCTGCCTTACATATTGGGGCTACAGCTAGGAATTCAGCAAGGGAAATAGGGCTAAAATTGGGAAAGGTTGAAAACCACTATGAGAAAAGTTCCAGGGCTTCAAGGCTTGCACATTATTCCTTAGCAGTTTCCACCATCTGTCTGGGGATCGCCTGGGTAGTTCGTGGTGACTTCCTAAACAAGAATGTGGTGGTCCCACCCTCCAGACTTCTAGGCAGCGATGGGCACCGAAAGAAGCAGGAGTAAGAAACGCCTGAGGGTGCTGAAGGCCCCTTCCGGCAATGCGCTACCTTTGACGTGCAGCTGCACAGCGCTGAGCGTCTGGCCCGCAGAGTTGCGCGCCGCGCACACATAGAGCCCGCAGTCCTTGGCCTGGCAGTAGAGCACCTTGAGCACAAAGCCGCCGTCGCGGTCTCGGTACATGAGGCGGCGGCGGTCCGGGAGCAGCGGGCGGCCCTCCCAGTGCCATTCGATCTCGGGCTCGGGCTTGCCCATCACGTAGCAGCGGAACTTGGCGTGCTTGCCCTCGTTCACCCAGAAGGTCTTGGGCGCACATTTCTGCGGTTCCACCACGGGCGTGGGGGCCTCGTCGGGGTCCTCGGGGTCAGTTTCGGGGGGCTGCTGCACCTGGAGCAGCGCCCCAGCCTGCGCGTGGCCGTGTGCGTTGCGGGCGTGGCACACGAAGACGCCCGAGTCCGGCAGCCGCGCTGCCAGGATGCGCAGCACCAGGCTGGTGCCCAGGCCACCCGCGGCGCCCAGCTCCAGCGCGAAGTGGCTGCGGTCCCACACCTCGTCCAGGGCCATCCCATCCTTCTCCCAGTACAGTGTGGGCTCGGGGAGGCCCCCCACCTGGCACGTCAACACTACCTCCGCCCCCCGCAGCACCCACTGGGACCGTGGCCCTGTCAGGAACACCGGGGCGCTCTCCCCGGTGCCCGGGGGCGGCGGCGGGAGCTCTGCGGGCTGGGGCTGGGGCTCGGGGGCCGGAGGCTCGAGCACGGTGACGGCGGCCGCCGCGTAGGCCTCGCCGGCCGTGTTGCGGGCTCGGCACACGTAGACCCCTGCGTCGGAGGGCAGCGCGCGGCTCAGCAACAGGCCGTGCTCGGCGCCATCCGCCGGGAAACTCAGGCGCTCCGAGGCCGCCAGCGGCTGCCCGCCCTTCTCCCACACGACGGTGGGCGGCGGCTGCCCCAGCACCACGCACTTGAGCTCGGCCTCGGCGCCACTCAACACCCGCACGGGCCGCGGGAAGCGCAGGAAGCACGGGGGGCTCCCCTGGCTCCCAGAGCCCACCTTCATCGCGGCTGGTGCGGTTGGGGAGCCGCGGCGCGGGGGAAGGGCAGGCGGCGCGCTCGCCGAGGCCAGGCGGGCGGCGGGGGTGCCCCGGGCGGGCGCTCTGGGGAGCTCTGCCCTGGCAGCCCCTTTCCGGCTCGCCTCCTTACCCTCAGCCCGGAGCTGCAGCTCAGCGGCGCGGCGGAGATTCCTGGGCCCCGAGCCTGGAGCTCAGGGGGCCGACTTCCTGTTTGCCTTTCCAGCGAGGGGCCCCGCAGCCTCCTCGGCCGGCGGCCTGGCTTCCTGCTCCGGGAGCCTCTCTTCCCAGCCCCCTCCCACAGCCCTGGCTTCTCTCCCCTCCTCCCTCCCACCTCTAGCCGCCAGGTCCGCGACAAACCGCCAGGCTTCGCCCTGAATGGCAGAGGCGCCTGCAGCTGCCAATCCCAAAAATATTCTCTGATGACACAGCTGGAGGACAGGAGCCCAGTCTGGCTCCTCCAAGCTAAGTTTAGAGCAGGCGGGGACCACCTGCCCCCCACCAGAGCCCCAGTTCTAGCCCCAGCCCATCCCCCACGCTTTGTCAGCAGCTGCTTGATTGAAAGGAGCCCCAGAAGGACTGAGGGGGCGGGTGCATTCTGTCTTTGGACAAATGGCACTTTCAGAAGCTGGTCAACCTCAGCTGCCACGCTCCTGTCTCACTTGATGTTACCTCTGTGTTGGGTGCTGGCACGTGAGGCACTGCGTGTGTATGTGTGTGCGCACACACACGCACTGAGTATAGGAAATGGCGCATGCTTGTATGTGTGGACAGGTTACTTGGGGTGAACGACCTTTCCACCCCTCGCCCCCACATTCTTGGCGGGAGTGGGAGATAAGGCTCAGGGCCACAGACAGCTGCGTCAGAGATTAGGAGGTCTCAATGCCATGTGTAGGGGCAACTGGGACTGCAAGGCGTGGGAAGCACTGGGGAAGACCCGGGTGGGAAGAGTAGAAGAGGGCAGGTGGTGGGATGGGGAGGGGACAGTGGGGAGGCTCTGGGCAGACCCTGGAAGGAGGGACCCAGGCCAGGCCGTGGGTTCCCCGTAGGCAAGACCAGGTGAGCTATGGTGCCCCAGCTGCCCCTGCTGCTCCTTTTGCTGTTGGGCCCACAGGAGGGTCATGGCTGCCAAGGAATGGAGCTGGACCGGGAGCTTGTCTTGGCCAAGGTGAAGGCCCTGTTCCTGGATGCCTTGGGTCCCCCTGCAGTGGCTGGGGAAGGTGAGGTTCCTGGAGTCAGGCGGCTGCCACGAAGACACACCGAAGGTGGCTTCATCCGCAGGGGCTCCAAACCAGAGGAGGAAGATGTCTCCCAGGCCATCCTTTTCCCGGCCACAGGTAATGAGGGTGGGGAACAGGCAGGGTGACTTTGAGAAGCAGCCTGGGAGCCAGGCTGACCTGAGTTTGAATCCTAGTCCTGCCACTCCGCTGGCTTCCCAACAATGAGCCAGTTACTAAACCTCCCTGAGCCTCTGTCTCCTCATCTGTCAAAAGAGTGATGACACTTTCCTCTCAGGATTGAAGGAACCCTGCACCTGGAGTGACTGGCCCATGGAAGGCTTCTGGGAGACCAAGTGTCTAAAGACAAGAGTTGTCTGGGCCTCTGCTTCTTACTTCAAGCTCTGTAGGTGAAATGTGAGAAGATACCATGGATGCTGGAAAATGCTTAGTTGGGAAACACAGACTTTCTCTTGAGTTCCTGTCTTACCTCCTTACGTGTTTTGCCATGTTCCAGTGACTGAGCGAATAAACCCTTCCTTTGGATGGGCTTTCTCCTCATCTGGCACACCTTTCTGTTAGCGATGATTCCCTGCCTCCCTTGCTTCAACCCCTGTGCAGCATATTGGGGGAAAGTATGGCTTTGGGATCAGGTCTGGCCACTTAGCAGTTGAATGTTATCCTTTTTTTTGTACCGGGGAATTGAACTTGGAACCTTGTGCTTGTGATGCAGGTGGCAGCACCGCCAAGCTAAATCCCCAGCCCTGTCATCCTTTTAAGCCTCTGTTGCTTATCTGCAAAATGAATCAATTGTTATGAATTTAAAATGAGAAGCTGTGTGATAATGTAGCTCCTGCTGCCAGTCCTTTGATTGAGGCTGGCCTGTGGTTATTTAGTGTAGTCCACATATATGTCAGGGCAAAGAGGCCAACTGTACTTTCTTGCGAAGGACTATGCTTTATTCTGAATTATAGCCTTCTTCCTTTTCCTCCTTTTCTTCCCCTCCTTCTCCTTTCTTCTTCTTTTTCTCCTCCTTCTTTTTGGTGTGTGTTAAGCTGCCCTTTAAAAATGGAATTATTGCCGGGGATTTGGCTCAGTGGTTCTGCCGCCTGCCTGGCAAGTGCAAGGTCCCAAGTTCAGTCTCTGGTACCAAAAAAAGGAATTAGTTTAAAGAACTTATCATATACTGTTTCTGATGTGCCAGAGATACAAGTAATATAACGCCCCCGTACACAGCATTCAAGATACCACTTCACACTATCTGATGAACAAAAATTTAACAATTCTAAGTGTTGGTGAAGGTAGAGAGTGACTCTTACACATCGCTGTTTGGAATGTTAATTGGTAAATCTGCTTCAGAGAGAAGTTGGCAACATTTTGTAATTTTTAGGTGCTTTAATGATGAGATGAAGAAACTGGGAGCCTATGTCAGTTCCCTAAGACTTGGGAGAGTGCCCAGGTCTAGAAGGACCCTCCACAGAGGTGTGGCATGTCACTAGCACTCTGTGAGTGGTGGCCACATCCCTCCTATTGAGGTGGGTGGTTTGGGGTCCTGGAAGTCAGGGCTGTCCTTTCCCTTCTCTTCTGTCCCCTGCAGGTGCCACCTGTGAGGACGAGGCAGCTGTTGGAGTGCTGGCCCAGGAGGCTTCAGAGGGTCTCTTCACATATGTGTTCCGGCCGTCCCAGCACACGCGGAGCCGCCAGGTGATTTCAGCACAGCTGTGGTTCCACACTGGGCTGGACAGGACGGGCTCAGCAGCCTCCAATAGCTCAAGGCCCCTGCTGGACCTGCTGGTGCTGTCATCTGGGGCTCCAGTGGCTGTGCCCATGTCCTTGGGCCAGGCTCCCCCTCGCTGGGCAGTGCTGCGGCTGGCAACCTCTGCTCTCCCATTGCTGACCCACCCTGTCCTGGTGCTATTGCTGCGCTGTCCTCTGTGTTCCTGCTCGGCCCGGCCTGAGACCACACCCTTCCTTGTGGCCCACACTCGGCCCAGACCACCCATTGGAGGGGAGAGAGCCCGGCGCTCAACTCCCCCCATGCCCTGGCCTTGGTCTCCCGCTGCTCTGCGCCTGCTGCAGAGGCCTCCGGAGGAGCCCGCTGTCCATGCCTACTGCCACAGAGCTGCACTCAACATCTCCTTCCAGGAGCTGGGCTGGGACCGGTGGATCGTGCACCCTCCCAGTTTTATCTTCCACTACTGCCATGGTGGCTGTGGGCTCCTCGCTCCACCAGACCTGCTCCAGCCAGTCCCTGGAGTCCCCCATACCTCTGTCCAGCCCCTTACTCTGGTGCCAGGGGCCCAGCCCTGCTGTGCTGCCCTCCTGGGAACCATGAGGCCCCTACATGTCCGCACTACCTCAGATGGGGGCTACTCTTTCAAGTATGAGATGGTGCCCAACCTTCTCACACAACACTGTGCTTGTATCTAAAAGGGTCCCGCTTCCTTATCTCATGGCTGGTGGCCAAGCACCCATCATCATCAGTTAGGAGGAGGGAAGAGTGTGGAAAATTAGTGGTTCTCACTCCCTCTTTGACTTCTCTGCCTGAGGGCTCTCCTCCCCATACCACTCCTGTCCCATGGGTGACATGTGACAATAAAGAACACAGTGCATACAACTTGGCATGCATTCTCAGGCTTTTCTGATATAATGTTTCAAAGATTTGGGGCCCTGGAAGCAATGGAATTGTGGGATTTCAGGTTACTCAGAGGCTAAGTTACTGCACTTGACCTCAGAGATCTGGGGTCCCAGAGTAGTACTTGGGTGTGTATTTGTTGGGAAACTGCATTGTGTCCCTAGCTCCTTGGACAGCTACTCTGGGGACAAAAATGGCCTCCTGCAAGGAGACCCTGACAAGTCAGTCAGGCTATCCACCCTGCCACACACACACACACACACACACACACACACACACACACACACAAATTACTGCATTCAGTGCCACCATTCAAGGTGGCCATGAGCCCCCTCTCCTGCCATCCTCTGCCACTGCAGATGGACACCTAGTTCAAGGACAGGGGATTCTTATCCTGATGAGAGTCTGTGTTCTTTGGAACCCCACTGAGACAAGTATTCAGAAACGGTCAATTACTGTATTGGGGTTCCTTGGGAGTTTGGATGAGAAGAAAGGGGCAGGTGTGTGAACTGGTAGTGTGAGAAAGAAATTGACAAGGCCAGAGAGGTGGTGTCCTGTTAAGGCCAGATGATCAGAATGAAGATGTGGAATTTCAGTTTGCTGAGGGTCTGTTGCTATTCTTGAAGTAGATTTTGTGAGGCCTCATTGAACTGGGACTCTGGCTCTTGAAATCTTTGGCTCCCTTGATGTCCCTGTGTATCTTTATAGCCCCTTGACTCAGTTCTTAACATCAGAAGAGTGAAAAGACAGCCCACTGCTGAGGAAATATGTGGTCTTCTGTGAATTCACTCATGGTGCACACTGGGAGTGAGGGCATGGGGCCAGGCAGTCCTTTTCTTTTCTCATTTGTTTCCTATGAGTCCATTCTGCCTTCAGAATTGGGCAACAGGGGGCTACCTTTTCCGGCCTACCTCCTGCTTGTGTATGCTCCTAATTATCCCCTCTACCTTTTCTTTCTGCCCCAGCCCAGGCTCCATGGCTCTCAGCTGATTAAGTCCATTCAGTCTCAGCCTCTTTCTCTCTCTCTCTCTCTCTCCCCCCCATCCCCACTCTGTGTGTGTGTGTGTGTGTGTGCGCGCGCACGTGCGCGCGTGTGCGTGTGTAGGGGCAGGGCTAGGATGTTCAGTCCATCATATTGAAACTTGAGAGCACTGATTGTGACTGCACAACTCCAGTGTGGATTGGTTTTAGCAGAATCTCTGACTTGTCAAAGGCTTGCTTCTACCAGCCCAGCTTGTTGGCGGGGGTGGGGGTGTTGCGTTAAGAATCCCAACAAGTTACACTCATGGTAACACCCTTTCCCCACTCAGCAATCCTGAAGGCTCTCCTGTTCCTTGAAGCACAGGGGCCCTGCAGGGCAGCTATGTGTATACTCTCACACCAGCCCGGGCTCTGTTCATGTGGAGTCCCCAGGAGGCTGCTGCTGCTAGCCTGCTGGGTTGCTTCCATTTAGTCTGGAATCTTCCAGTACCTTGTCTCTGTGCTCTGGAGGTCCTTACTCAGGCTGAGGACTGGGAGAAGACCATCAGTGGGGACCCAGGGAACCTTCCTTAAGGCTGCTTGGATTCCCTTGTTCCCTGCCTGGCATCCTGGCCAGGTCTCCCCTCCCCAGAGAGGTCTTTCCCTGGGAACTTGAGTCTTCCTACCATTCGTAGGGTCCTCATTCTTCCTCATTCATCCTTCCTTCTGGGCCCCACTATGTCCCAGATGTTCCTTGTCCCAGGGAGGTGGAGGAACTCTAAGGACAGGGGACGCAGGATCCTCTACTCGGTTAGTTAGATGATCGGTGTTGCAAGTAAGTTTTCACGTGTCTGGGACAAAGTGAGAAAAGTGAGTACAACATAATAAATATTTCACAACACCAGATGTATTTTTTTTCCAGATGTATTTATTTTAAAGGGCAGTTCTTTATTCTGGAGTTATTCTTTCTCTCTGTGTGTGTTATTTCTTTATGATATTATGGAGATGGTAGAAAGTAGTGGATATTTTTTCATAAAAGTGTTTATTTAAATTACAACTCAGCAATTCTAGTTTGTATCTTGAGATTTTTCTTTGGAATTTCACTGCTGCATGAAATCTGAAAAATCCCAAAGACAGAAGTCATGAGTCTGGGCCACCCCTTCAAGGATCTCTTAGTCCTTACATTCTGCTAACTTAGCAAAACAGAAAACTATGTCTGTCCCTCCCTTAGTGGGGGCCAGTGGTGGTTAAGGACATATTTTTGTCTTTGCTTTTAGCCATGGGACCACTCAAGAGCAATGAACTTCAACTATGTTCTTTGATTCCAGTGCTAATTGTTAGGAACACTCGGTGAATACTCTTCATCAGAATGAATTTAAACAGAAAACTCAAACTGGCTTAGACAATTAGTTAATTATTAATTAATTATAAAGTGGCTTGTTGGCTTTTGACAAGTCCACAGCATACCTGGTTCAGGTGTGTCCTGATTCTAGGCTCAGAAGTTGTTACCAGGATCCGTCTATAGGCCTTACTTTCCCTGGGTCAGGTCCATCCAAGGTCTGTGGTGTCTCTAGACAGCTTGACTCCCATCATCACAACTTTTGGTCCAGAAGGAGAGAGTTGGCTTATAAAATTACTCAGAGTTGGTCTTGATGTCCTGATGAGAGTCATGCTTCTTCAGAAAAGATGGCTTGAGGAACGGAATGGGCTAAGATCGTGTGTCCTACCCTGGGAGCCAGGAATAGGACTAACACTGAATTAGTCAGTTTGACATCACTGCAATGACAGAATAGCTAACGTATAGGGAGAAAATGTTTAGTTGCCTTGCAGTTTTGGAGGTTGAAAGTTGAAGACTGGGTATGCCTGCTTTGGCCTCTGGCGAGGGCGGGGGTGATGGCACATCCTGGCAGGAGCACCTGAGGAAACAAATGCTCATATCTTGAGCTACAATAGAGAGAAAGTAAAAGACTAGGGCCCTACAATGCCTTTGAGGGCACATCCTGCATGACCCAAGCACTTTCCACTGTGCCCCACCTCTGAAAGGTCCACAGCACTTCCAAGTGCCACCACCCTGGGGACAAACCTTTAGATATGAACTTTTGGGGGACATCCAACAGCTAAGCCACAGCAAGTACAAGGGATAAAAGGTGAAAAAGGTGATATCCTCAAAGCAGGGAGCAGCTGTCACAAAAAGGTGAGTGAGGCAAGTACTGTTGGTTCCTCCTCCTAATATCTCTCAAATTAAGCCCATTCTTTCTACATAGACTCTATTTTGTAATTGACTAGACAGTTCAAAGCAGTTACATTCTGCTCCTTTGTCCACCTCCCATGTGGCTGCCACAGGACCCTCCTAAGTGATCATGTCACTTAGGTGCCTTAAAAAGTCCACACAGAGGGGCCAAGGATTTAGCTCAGTGGTGCTGCGCCTGTCTTACAAGCTTAAGGTCCGGAGTTCAATCCCTGGTACCAGGAAAAAAAAATGTTCACATAGAGTTCAACTTCCATGGTGGGGTAAATATAAACAAGTAAATTTTAAAATATATAAATAAATAAAACTTAAAAGCCCTTGACAATTGGTCCTAAACCTATCTTTGTAGCCTAATTTCACACCCATCCCTCTTTCCCTACCCACTATGGCCTGAGTGCTAATGTCCCTCCAAGATTCAGGCAGGCATTTCCAGCTTTAAAGATGGAAGGGGGCCCCAGGCTAGGGAAGCAGGCAGCCATTTAAAGCTGGGAAAAGATAAGAATACAGATTCTCTTGCCCGGGATTTAGCTCAGTGGTTCCATTGCCTGCCTCGAAAGCACAAAGTCCGGAGTTCCATTCCCGGTGCAAAAAAAGAATACAGATTCTCCAAACTGGGGATGTAGGTCACAAGGTAGAGTGCTTCCCTAACATGTGTGAGGTCCTAAGTTTCATCTCCAGCACCGTTAAAAAAATACAGATTCTTAAAAATACAGATTCTTTCCTGGAACCTCCATAAAACAACACAGCTCTGCTGACACCTTACTTTTAGCCTAATGAGACTTATTTTGGGCTTCTGACTTTCTGAACCATAATAAATTCGTTGCTTTAAACCTGGTTAACTAAATCTGGTGTAATTTGTTACACCAGCAATAGGAAATTAATATAATGTCATCGTGTGATTGCTGGGATCTGTCTCTTCCACTACAAGGCCAGCTTCTTGATAAAAGAGCCACATCTTTGTCTGCTTCATTTATACAGACCTGGCACAGAGTTAGAGTTGAGAAAATATTTGTTGAACAAAGGAAAGAACTGCTCTAACTCTGGTTCTACAGAGGCTCTGAGATTCCAAAGCAGCCCCCCCTTCCCCCGCCTGAGCCCCTAAGCCCTGTGTTCCCACTTTGCTGTTTTCCCTTTGCCCACTGGCTCATGTGGCACACAGCAGGTCCTAGTGCCATTCCATTGCCGCTTCCTCCCCTGTCTGCCTGTGCCTAGCTCTCTGTGCGGGGAGAATTGAAAAGGAAGACAAAGCATCCCTATGTATGTGACTTTGCCAACAGATCTTCTGGGCTATGCCTGAAACAGTGTTGTTTTCTTCTTCTCCCAGATTCTGTCTGCTTTTTTTTTTTTCTTCTCTAACGCTGTCTCTATGCATACATTCTATCAAGCTTCTGTTCTTGTTCAGTTTGAATGGGTAATGCAGTCTTTATTTTTCTTTTTCCTTTCTCTGTCCTGAATTAACCACATAATCCTGCTTCTTACAGTCCTTCTTTACCTCCCCCTTCTCAGGTGGTTCCATGGGTTTCCAGGATAGACAATGAGGTAAGTTAAGGCACTCTTAGGTTACCTTGGGTTAATTTAAAGCCACTTGTGGAATACCTCCCTTTATTTTATGCTAAACTGCAAAGTCCTCTCAGACCAGGTGCCCAGAGCTGCTGCTGGGTCACTGGAATATTGTTATTTTGTTGCTTCTTTTTTTTTTCTTTCTCCTCCTCCTTTTTTTTTTTGAGACATGCTCTTACTATTTAGTTCAGGCTGGCCTTGAACTCTAGGTAGCTCAGG